TCAAAGCTCCAATCAGGGTTTGGATCCAGGGTCACTCCATCAACATTTTTAGGCAACGGAAGTAGCAGTTTAACAGCACCCCTGAAAAAAATAACCATAACTCAGCACAAACCAAGGAACAAGTAAAATATTATAGTTACAGAGGTTATAAAAAAAAAGTTATAGTTCCAGAATTTCTATAAACTTGTAGCAATAAAAGAAAAACTGAAATGTGATGTTCTTATCACTACAACTATGAGAAAGGTATTTTGTCAAACATATGCATAGAGGTCACATGAACCAACCCCTCCCTAAAACAAAACTAAAAAATGGCATCAATTTTTCATGGACTACCACAAATAGAGAAAGAGGTGAAAAAATGGGTATAGGAAAAAAGTAATAACTTACATTATTCTTTTCCTGCCTTAAGAACACCTTTAAATAAAGTTGTTGTGTACAACGCTGGCTTCACACACTTGAGTCTTGAAATATGATATATAATTAATTACCTGTAATTGAAAAGCAAAAGTTACAAACAGAAAATGTAAAGATCATAACATGAACACCCATAAGGGAAATTTGAAAACTAAACCCTAATATTACTAATATAGACAAGAGTATGAATAGGGGGGAAAAGATAGCGCAAAAAGGGATAAAGGCGCTGATTTGAGATCGAAGTTTCATTCTTTACATTAATTTTCTCCAAGATTTATTTAACAAAAGGCTCTGCTCTCTGTGAAGCATCTACCTTTGAAGTTTTCTTGCATTTGCAGTTGTGATTTCTTGAAATAATAGCTATAGAAATTCAATAATATTAAATGGATTTTTTTACTATTCCGAATTGGATAAACGGAATTTTGAATAAATCATAAGCTGAGGGTATGAATTTTGAGAAATTGAAGAGGAAGTGATGAAGGGTGGAAGAAAAGGAAGCTTAATGTGAAAGAGGAAGTGGAAGTGCTACAACAACAACAACAACAACAACATACCCAGTATATTCTCACAAGTGGGGTCTGGGGAGGGTAGTATGTAAGTAGTCCTTACCCCTACCTTCTGAAGGTAAAGAGGTTATTTCTGAAAGACCCTCTGCTCAATACAACAAAATCACAGCAGTTATGACAGAGAACGACGGCAAACGAAATAGTAATAACATCCAAAAAATAAAACTAAGCAAAGAGAACCTCAGGTAAAAAAAATATCAATCTAAAAATAGGGAACACAAGGGTAACACTAGTACTACAGCTAGGGACACCAGTCTAACATTTGTTTCTATAAAACTTGCCTTTCACTCCATCAAGTATCTTCCTACTGCACAGCGCTCTTCCAGCACTAATTCATTTCATCAATCTGCTTTAATTGTATGTGATTCATGCTCATCTACCATGTCATTCTCCTAGTAGACTAAACCTATATATCTGAATTGTCTTCATTGAGACACACGGCCCCATTTAATCTTACTTAGCTTTCTTTTGACGGGGGCTATATGAAAGTGTATTCTATCTTGGACCTACTTATCCTAAAGTAATTATACAAAAGTCGGTATTTCGAACAATTCCATTTCCAAAACTTGGAGACAACTATCTCTCTATGCATTACCTAACAAGTTACAATTATCTATGGCGCTTCTACTATGACCTTATGAAGTTCACTCTAAGAATGTACCTCCACATACCACTATTAGTTTGCTTCGGTTCATGGAACGGGAACGAGTCACAACTAAAAATAGATCTAAAACAAAATTTGCACGGATAGGTCTCTTTAGATCATATGACATACCCATTAAGAAACCTTATTTCTTAATCATTTCTCAAGTCAGCGAATTTGGAAAACTTAAAATAGTAAAATAAATAAGCAATGATTGTTAGAATCATAGTTTCCTTGAGTTCATTCACTGTAGGGACAAAAGGCACTGATAAATTGTAAAACAGAACCATACAAATTTGAATCACTAAGTTTAGCATTCCAAGTCGCTACTAATCATTTCCAGAATTGTGAAATGCAATTTGGTATTCACTAGGGTTTACCAAATCATAACACCAGCATCAAACAATATGATTTTTCACGTTATTTTCCATTTTGTGGGCGCGGGGTGGAATACTCCAGGGTCCACGCCAGATAACCGAATGCCAAAATTTATAACTCATAGAGTAGCTAATTAATTTGCATAAAAATTCTACGGCAACAAAAATTAGAAGAATTTGAATTTGGATCTAAAAAGACTCAATATTACAAGAAGATCCTAACTTCAACAGAATTAAGCAAATAACCCTTTCCATTATGTTAAGACTTAGATCTTGTCAAAGAGTATTTCAATATTAGATTGTATGTTAGATTATGTCTAATGGTACATTCAAAGATTGTGGGTAAAACTCATGATCTTAGGGATACATTTTTGAATTATGTCTCTAGCTTTGTGTATGTATATATTCTAAGTGTAATCTATCTTTTGAAAAAAGAAGTGAAATACACTTACATAATTCACATGGTATCAAAGCCTCTACGATCTTGGTAGAGACTCAAATACTTTTTTCGATTGCTTTTTCCGGCAGTCACTACTCCGGTGGATTTTTCCGACCACCTTTTCCGGTTGCTTTTTCCGGCATCCACTTCTTCGGCAGATTTTTCCGGTCATCTCTGACTTTCATTTCAGATACGCGAGGGTCGACCATTCATTGCGGTCTTACCCATCACATTTTCTAAAATCTCCGAAGCAGTTTTCGGTCATATCTTGTTACCCTCTGACCCGATTCCATTAGTAAGCTCCTTTCCAGGCCAGATCTTGTGATTTTGGTGAGAAGAAAAGAAAAGTATTCTGTTGAGTCTTGATTTGGTGGGTAACTTGAGAGGGGATTTTTCGTTTAAAGCAGAAGAGTAAAATTTTGGTTTTGAAAAGCTTTTTCCAAAGTAAAGCTTTCTTTATTTCAAGTCACACTTTATTACTTTGTCTTTACATGTGGGAGCCATTCGTACAAGTTTTCTTGCCCAACAAAGTCTTCTATTTCATTACATAGTGCCATTACTTTTGTCCTCTTTCCCACATTATTTTGTACACTTGCCTTCTTGAAATTTAAATATCAAAATGACAGGTGCGTCCTCCACGGCAGAAGAAGTCAAACCATTTTTCTCTCCAATTTTGAATCCTTCCACTATTACTACGGTTAAATTACAAGGTAGTTATGAGGATCACTTAGTCAAAATGCTAGTGTAAAGACTAAGTGGACCCGAATTGATGCACAATTGTGTAATCTTTTATGGAACTCTTGGGATCCGAAATTACTCAACTTGTTTCAGTGTTGTAAAACTTGCTATAAAGTTTGGACTAAAGCTAAAGCTTTGTATACGAATGATATACAACGAATATACAAAGTAGTTTCAGATTTAGTCCAACTTCAGCAGAATAATCAAGATATGGCGAGTTATTTATGACAAATAGATACTTTGAAAGATCAATTTGACTCGCTCATGCCACTTTCTGCAAGTGTCACCACCCAGGAGCAACAAAGAGATAAGTTCTTTATGGTTTTGGCACTGAAAGGATTTCGATCTGATCTCAGCCCTATAAAGGATCAGATCTTGGCAAGCTTTGTAGTTCCTTCATTAGTTGAGGTTTCAGCTTGGCTATTGCGTATTGGAACAGAAGTACTTGATACTAATAAAGTGGAGACATCTGTATTGGTTGTGCAAAATGAAAATCCACAGGAACAAAATATCTATCAAAGAGAAAAAAGAAAAAGCAGCAGACCCTACTGCAACAAGCCAGGACATACTCGACAAACTTGTTGGAAACTGCATGGTCGACAACCACGTACAAACAATCGCAGTACAACCCACATAGTTCAAAATGGTGGTGAAACAGATGATCAACATGCTGATTTTATTACTTTATCTGGGGTGGATTATAGTGATTACCTGCAGTATCAAGCGGCTAAACAACAATCACTCTCATCTGGCACCTCACAAACTGGTAATCCCTTTGCTTGTCTGAGCAGGTCTTCACCCAATTGCTCGAACTGCAGTAAAAGGAATAGGAGAAGTGCAACTTCTTCCCTCTATCTCTTTAAACTCAGTTTTATTTGCTCCTGAATGCTCATTCAATTTGATTTTCATTAGTAAATTAACCAAAAACCTTAATTGTTCTGTCACTTTTTTTGCTAACTCTGTTATTGTGTAGGACTGGAAAACGGGGAAGACTATTGGAACAGGATATGAGTCACAAGGACTATATCATATGTACAAATCACAACCACCAGTTGCCTTCACTTCCGCTACATCAGTTGATCTACTCCACAGCCGTTTATTCCACCCGAGTCTTGCAAAGCTTCAAAAATTAATTCCTAATCTTTCCACATTGTCTTCTTTTGAATGTGAGTCTTGTGACTTGTCAGCTTGGGAAACACACTCGCACCTCGTTTCCCAAAAGAGTCAATAATAGGGCTTCATCTATGTTTGACATTGTTCACTCAGATGTTTGGGGTCCTAGTCGTGTTGTTTCAAGTTTAGGATTTCAGTATTTTGTTACCTTTATTGATGACTTCTCCCGCTGCACATGGGTATTCTTAATGAAAAATTGTTCTGAATTATTTTCTATTTTTCAAAATTTTTGCGTTGAGGTAAACAATCAATTTGGTGTTTTAGTAAAGGTATTACGTAGTGACAATGCAAAGGAGTATTTATCATCTCCCATCACTAGTTTCATGTCATCTCTAGGAATCACTCATCAGACTTCTTGTGCATATACTCCTCAACAAAATGGAGTTGCCGAACGTAAAAATCGGCATCTCATTGAAACTACTCGTACCTTACTTATACACCATCACGTTCCTCTTCGTTTTTGGGGAGATGCTGTTCTCACTGCTTGCTATCTGATCAATAGGATGTCCTTTTCTGTGTTGCAACACTAAAGTCTTCACTCAATTCTCTTTGCAGGTCAAAATCCCTATCATTTACCTTTAAAAGTGTTTGGATGTACTTGCTTTGTTCATGATCACAGTCCTGGAAGCGACAAACTCCAACCAAAGTCAATTAAGTGTGTCTTTCTTGGATATCCTCGTTACTAGAAAGGTTATAAATGCTATGATCCAAAAGCACATAAATATTTGATCTCTGCAGATGTAACCTTCTTTGAGACATCTCCCTATTTTTCACTAAACACTACAAGTAGAAATTTGACGCCTCAAGTTTTGCCAGAAATTTGACGGACCTCAAGACTCTCCTCCTCCTCTCCAAGTATACTCCAGACGTGCCAGTCCTCTAGCTTATACTAATGATAGCACTACTCCTGATCTGGATACGTTGGTAGCTCCCAATGACTCATCTCTTGCTCCTACGTCACCTGCTCCAGTCATGCCTTCATCAGATTGCCATACGCAAAGGTATATGCACTACTCAAAAACCAGTACGATTTAACTGCTTAAGTTATCATCGATTGTCCCCATTATATTATACCTTTGTATCTGCCTTATCTAATGTACCTATCCTAAGGACTATTGGCGAAGCATTGGAACATTCAGGGTGGAAAGGTGCTATGATCGAAGAAATGACTACTCTAGAGACCAATAACACTTGGGAATTGGTCCAGTTACCGGAAGAAAAATCTACCGTTGGATGTCAGTGGATCTATACAGTAAAGGTAGGTTCAGATGGAACAATTGTTCGGCTGAAAGCTCGCCTTATTGCTAAAGGATACACCCATATTTATGGTCTTGACTATGGTGACACATTCTCTCCAGTTGCCAAGATTGCATCTGTCCGACTGCTTATCTCCGTAGCAGCAATGCACCGTTGGCCGCTTCATCAACTAGATATTAAGAATGCTTTCATATATGGTTAGCTTGCTGAGGAAGTTTATATGGAGCAACCTTCTGGGTTTGTTGCTCAGGGGGAGTCAAACTTAGTATGCCGTCTAAAACGTTCATTATATGGCCTTAAGCAATCTCCGAGAGCATGGTTTGGCAGATTTAGCTCTGTTGTCCAACAATTTGGGATGTTTCGAAGTGAAGCAGATCACTCAGTTTTCTATCGACATAATGGTGCAGAAAAGAACATTTATCTGGTTGTTTATGTTGATGACATAGTCATAATTGGAAATGATCTAAAAGGAATATCTGAGCTAAAACAACATCTATTCAGCCACTTTCAAACCAAGGGCTTGGGAAGCTATAGTATTTTTTGGGAATCAAGGTAGCACAATCCAAGACCGATAATTCTAACTCACAAAGAAAATATGCTTTGGACATACTTGAGGAAACATGCATGTTAAACTGCAAACCTATTGACGCTCTTATGGATCCAAATGTCAAACTCGTCTCTGGACAGGGGGAGCCATTAGAAGATCCTGGTAGATATCGAAGACTGGTCGGTAAACTGAATTATCTTACTATCACACGACCTGATATTTCATTTGCAGTAAGTGTGGTTAGTCAGTTTCTCCAAGCTCCGTGTAAAGATCATTGGGACGCAGTAATTCGCATTCTAAGATACATCAAAAATGCTCCTGGACAAGGACTATTATATGAAGACAAAGGTCACACAAACATTGTTGTATATTCTGATGCTGATTGGGCAGGTTCTCCGTCAGATAGACGCTCCACTTTTGGGTACTGTTGGGGGAAATCTAATTTCTTGGAAAAGCAAAAAGCAAGATGTTGTTGCCAGATCTAGTGCAGAAGCATAATATCGAGTTATGGCCCTTGCTACATGCAAGCCTATTTGGTTGAAACAACTCCTCCAAGAGTTACAATGTGTTGAGTTCAAACAGATGGAGCTTATATGCGACAATCAAGCTGCCCTTCATATTGCTTCAAATCCAGTTTTTCATGAAAGAACGAAACATATAGAGGTGGATTGTCATTTTATTAGGCAGAAGATCGAGTCCGGATGCATTGTCACTAGCTTCGTCGGTTCAAATGACCAATTGGCAGATGTTCTTACTAAGTCCCTTAGAGGGGCTCGGATTGAATACATTTGTAGCAAGCTTGGAGCATATGACATGTACGCTCCAGCTTGAGGGGGAGTGTTAAGACTTAGAGCTTGTCAGAGTATTTCAATATTAGATTGTATGTTAAATTATGTCTGATGGTATAGTCAAAGATTGTGGGTAAAAGCCATGATCTTAGGGATACACTTTTGAATTATGTCTCTAGCTTAGTGAATATATTCTAGGTGTAATTTATCTTTTGAAGGAAGAAGTGAAATACACTTACATAATTCACATCCTCAAACTGTATATATGTCGTGATGGTAGTTTAGAGTGCATCGTATGAAATCATGCCTCTCGTGAGTGTCTGCTCCTTTATACCTGATGATACTAGCAGTTATAAAGTTGAAAGGGATTTGCAACCCTAGTGTATGCACCTTATTCGCAGTATCTTGTATGCACCTTGGTATCATTGTTTGATTGCTCTTCGCTATGCGTAGTTGGATATTGTATTTCCTAATTCTGATATGTGCATTGAGGCTTGAGCTGTGTTATGACTATCGTGACTTAAAGAATCTTTCTGTTAATTTTTGTTTGAATAATAGTATATTGTCTTAATCCCTTTAGATGAGATACGAATAGTTTATTCTCTTACAGAAATGAGATACGAATAGTTTATTCTCTTACAGAAATGTTACAGTTGAACCGGACATTTCTTCCTTTTCATATTTGTTTCAGTGTTAAGAAAATTCTCATGGTTAATATCTTAAGAGTGTCTTTTGGTGCAGCGGTGTAAAACTAATGTTGGATTGAGAAACATCCTCTGCTCAATCCAAAAGGAGCAAAAAGGCTGGTGGCCAAGATTGTTGAAGTCTGAAGAGAAGCCCGCTCCATACCTCAAGGTCGATTGGAACAAATGGTGTGATGAAGATGATGAGGAATCTTGTGAGTTGGCTGCATATTACTTGCTTCCTTAAATTTCCAAAAGTTATTATGGCTATCTTTACATTAATTTGAGACAGTGAGCAGATCAGAAAACCTAAGTATTTAGTGAATCCTAATGCTGGTAAGCCTCCTGGCAGTTCAGCCAATCTTGTCGTTTTGCTGTTGAATCTTCCTTTAATTTGTAATTCAACTCCATCTCCGCCCTTCCCTCTTTTTCTTCTTTTTGTGCTTTGGAGCAGGAGCTAAGTGGCAGATGAAATATTAGATATACTTTTGATTTTCTTTTCTTTCTACTTTCCTTGCAAGACGTTTCATTTGAATGATCAAAGGCAACTTTTAGTAATTAGACTGCAGGTTGAGTGTATTCAGTCTGGCTGTCTCTAATCAGACTTTTCATGCCTGATTAAAGGAGTATGGTTTTTAGAAAAAAGGAAAGGCGTAGAAAAGAAAGGAAAATCAGAAGAAAGAAGTAAATGAGAAAGTAAAACCATTTTCTTTCTTTTGTCTGGTTTGAGACAAAGTGGGGAAGCACGGAAATTCTTGCTACCATTTTGCCTTATATTTTGACTATGGAACCTGGTGCCAGAAGGACAGTAACCTACTTCTTTCTATATTTTCATTCTTATTTTACTGGTAAGAGCACATCGCGTGATGTGTGGGTTAGGCGCATGTCATTGGTCTGAACCTTCTTGAGACAAAAACTTGGTAATCTAAGTCGAGAAGGTAGAGGGGCGGGCCTATTAGCACCAACCTTTGGACCGTCTGCCACATCCCTCAGGAATTTCTCGATAAAAAATAATTAGGCAAAGGAGACTTTTTGAACTTTCCTTTCCTTGTCTTCCTTAGTTTTGAGTCGAAGTGTTAGTTTGTCTAAAAAAGTTTTGATAACCGAGAAATCCCCGAGAGCTTGTGGAACAAAGTTTGAAACTCGAAGGATAATGGGTTGACGTCTCTACCATTCTCTTCTTATATAAAGGCATTTACTTACGGTACGAACCTGTGACTTGTGCCTAAACCACACATCACACAATGTGCTCTTACTACTCTTACTACTGGACACGGAAGTCCAGGGAACTTCGCTTATCTAGAATTTTGATTTTGCAATTGATATAGTTGTTAATGTAAAATGATAATGTGCTCAGAGATTAGGCATGCAGGTTTGCACTTCCTACTTCCCAAGATAATTTGATTTTTGAACTCCTGGTTGATCCAGTTACTAAATTTCATTTCATCACTTCCCTCCCTCTTCCTTCTCCGTCTATAGTGATAATCAACTCTCTCAAGTTAGTGTTCTTTTACAGCTGTGTATCAATAGCGATGAACAATACCATCTTACCTACTTCCTGCTTCTCTCTCTTTTCTACTTCGGGAAGAACTGAAGCTTTTCAGCAGTTGGCACTAACTCACCTTCTCATGTTTATCTGTACGTGTTATTTCCTATTATACTCATAGACTAATCCAGATTTCTGTTCCATGTAGCGGACTCTGACAATGATGTTGAGGTAATACCTACCCTGATCTAGTTAAATATTACATGCAACATAATGTTCAATGACTTTGATCATAGTTATTTGACTTGAATGTATTTTCTTTTAGTACACTGGAGGAGATGATGAGAGCAGCGATGATGGAGGAATGCTCTGTGAGTTATTTCCTATCTGATTGAACAAATATTTGTTGTATATATCCAAGATGCAATGTTAAGTTTTCCAGTAAACTCTTGTTCATCAGTATTTTCCTGCTCTCAGATACTTGTCTAGGTCTCATTTCCTTTAACAGAGGAATAGCACCAACTTCTTACTTCTCGTTTTCTTGCTTATATGAGCAATTTTTTCTGCTCGGACGACATTGAAGAGACAGGGAACTTAAAGAGTTTGAAAGGGAGAGGAACAAGGAGTGCAGATAGGATTATGAGGTTCGCAGTGTTAATAAAATTTTAGGAAGGAAATGGACTGCGGAGAACATGAGAAAGTGGGACCTTTAGTTTATTTTACTGGGAAACCTCGCTTGATGGAACTTTTTGTAAATGCTAAAAGACACCTTAGAAGTAAGATTAATATGAACATCTGATAAAGGTATTAAAATCACATAACACCCAATAGCTTCTTTTTAATCTTGATCTTTCCTAATGTGCAAGTTAATATCCCTCTCTCTTTTCTTCTTTCTTTTATTTCTTCTCTTCTAAGTTACCCAAAACATCTTTATAATTGTTGATCATCTCGAGTATTTTGGTTATTTGCTTACGAGAAAACAAATAAAAAATGTCATGTTTATTTAATACCATCCGTTTTGATGTCCTACTTTCCCCCATCCAAACTCCTCAGCTAGATAGAAGCAAGTGAATTATGAGGAGATGGAATTTTCCAGTTGTAACATTAATTCATCTCTTGATTGCAGATCTTCCAGACCTGGAAAAGGCTAGAGGAAATTAGAAGCAGCTGCTTAAAACTTTCAAAAAGACGCTGATTGCCGGAGATGTTTAGGATTTAGTTTTTAGGAAACAAAATGTGACTTTCTTGCTGAAGTATTTAGATGTATAGGGAGGGGTGGTTGGAAGACTGATTTTAAGCCATGTGTATACATTACAACTTGTTTGGATGGTTGTTACCCATTGTATCGTATTGTATTGTTATCCTAAAACAATGTTTGTTTTGATTGGTTGTTTAAAATTGATTGTATTGTATTGTTAAATACATTGTTCGGGAACAACCAAAAGCCCCATTTTATGAAACAACCGATTTGGTGTGGTGCGATCGTTTCCTATTTTCTTTTCTAATTATGTCCTTATTACTCCATAATTCTATTTTATCATTTAAATTATTATTTTTTTAATTCCAAATCTCCAACCTATTGACTTACTTTGTCTTCTTCCATCTTTTCTGGAGTTGGTTTGTCCCGTTCTTTTTATTATCCAAGTCTCCGTTCAATTCTTTGTCTCTTTTCATCGTTTTAATTTTTTTTTTAGTGTAGCTAATATTAGTTAACCTTTTTTTTCCCAGGTCTTTGCTCTTGTTTCCAAGCTACGTAATTAATGATAAATTAGTAGAAAGAAGTTTTCTTAAATTATTTTTATATGTAATTCTAAACAATTGCGGTTATTTTAGTGAACTTATCAGTTACAGTACTGTACAATACAGTCAAACCAATAACAAAAATATTATTTAACAACAGCAAACGATACAATCTATTCAAACGTTGTATCCATAAAATGATACAATACAATACAATACAATACAATACAATACAATACAATACAATACAATACAATACAATACAATACAATACATTATAAAACGATGGGTAACAATGATTCAAACATAGTGTTAGTAACCTTTGTCTTTAGAAGAAAGAGTACTTTGTTATTCTACTACTTTGTTTCCTTTTCCATCTTTTCTGGATGGTTTGGTTATTAAAAATGGGAAAGGAGATATAGTTAGTCTCATTAGTATTTTCATCACGTCAAAGCAAATTTCTTAATTAATATAACTAGGGAAGATGTTCAAATTACCATTATACTATTGGAGATGTTCTAAATTACCTTTTGTTACATATATCAGTCAATTGTGATGAATTAGTGTAATTTGGTGTAAGAATTGGGTGTGAATAGATTTTTCCCTTACATAAAGAAGAAACTTTGACGTTATGGGTATCTACGAATCTGTAACTCGCTATTTATAAATACAATTGATCATGTATGGATTAAATATATACATATCACGATTGGTTAATATTAAATGTCGTTGTATAAACGTGACATTATTAATATTTTAAAAATAGCTGGAGAAGTACTCCTACCAACTGATTCGGCTAAGTGTCTTCTAACCACATACACAAAACATTTTCATTTTTCAACAAAGTTTTGAATATAGAAACATAATATGAAATATAATGTATGTTACATGAATACACCATAAAAAAAATGTTCAGTACATTGTATACAACAATGTATTATCAACACATTAATATAAATAGTTCACTTCTCCTATAACTGTTTCGGCACATTTAATTAAAATCACTGATACAGAAACATATCATGAAAAAAACATATATTATGAATACAACATAATATATGCTGTATTTATAATATGCTGCCATGAATATACTATAAAACTATTATGAATACATATACATACAGTTGGATACAACATATTAGTGAAGAGGTTGTAAGTAGTAACAAGCAAACCTGATAGCATTTGACCTATCAACCCGAAATTGAAACCTTTCAGCAATTGTATATTGCTATCATCGCCTTCAATGTGGCCTTATCCTTAAATACTTGTCTAGCCATCACCTCTTTTTGATTAGTATTTGAAATAATCAAATCCCTTTTCAGTTCGAAAATCTCAATTGGTTCACCTGAGTTTAAAGACGCAAGTGCAAGTGTATCAACTGTATCAAATTTATTCACCCCATCTGTTGCGTCAAGTTGCATTAGGTATCTTTGAATTAAACTTCCTCCATCTACAATTTCTTTATCCAATGTAGTTATACACAATGGATACATCCCGAATTCTCTATTCTCCCTTTTAACCTCTACATACACCATGTAACCCATGTCGTTGTGTATTTTCATAGGCGTGCAATTTCCTTTCACTTTGTATTCAATTTTAATTGACTTGAAGCTCAAATCAATGCCTAGTTGCTTCGAAATTGAAGCAACCAAATCATTGTACGACGCATACTCCTTTATTAATATCCCGTCAATTGAATAATCGACATAACAATTTGATGTGTTTCACTTGCCAGAATGACGAATTGGCACTGTTAAACTTGCCATCTAGAAAATCGAATTTCAAAATATTTCTGTAGATACTTGTATCAATTCCGAGCAGAACCTCAGACAATATCAGGGAAAAAAATATCGAACTATATCAGAAAAAAAAAAGAGGGACTGAAACTCTGAAGAAGGCTCTGTTTTTTGGTGTTAAGCGTCTGACAAATCTTCTCATTAATTGGATTGATAATGTTGCATGTTATAATTGATTTTGTTGAGTTATATTAGGTGTGTATCACGTTAAGTGATCTGCTTTCAGTTATTAAATAGTTGGGGAGACCTACTTTTACATTGATTTCCGTCACTGTATTCATGAATACATGCGCGAATATATGTGAATACAATGGCGTACAACTGGACTGCCCTATTTTTTAGCCGATTTTTGCTACTGTATTCATGAACACAATAGCGCGAATACATCATGAATACAGTAGCGCGAATACATCAAATACATTACCATAACAACTGAAAGGTAGCTATAAAAAGTAATTATATATATGATAGCTATAAAAAATTAATATCCACTAAACAATAGTGGTTTCTGAAAATTGCTCAAAATATTTTCCTTACATAAAGAAGAAACTTTGACGTTATGGTAACTACCAATCCGTAACTCCTATTTATATTCACGTACGTACTTTTTTATTTTATTTTTGGTGATCCAAAAAATCCTCAAACTCATTTTATATAAATTTTCATAGTTATACATAATTTCGAAAATTTTAATATTATAAACACACACACACACACACACCAGATACAATAAAGTTCCATTTAACCGAGTCCTTTCAGCTAACTGAACATAGAACTTTGTGCTATCTATAGAGTCAACTAAAGATGAGGTTCAACTAGCTCACATTTAGCAAAGCTACACTATAATCAAGTTATGTGCACCTCACAATTGAACTTAGAAAACAATTTGTCAAAGTTCAGGTTAATCTAAACATGAGTCGTAAACTTCAGGTTACCCCTCTCCCTTCGTTTTAATACAACTGGAAACATACAATAACTTCGTTTTTAACTTGTCTAGAAAGCATTCATACTGGAAATGCTTACAGTAACTGAAAGGAAACTACAAAAACTATGTCCTCCGCACAATTTCAAGTTAAAACTATTAAAAATGTACATACAAGGAAACTTATCTAGAGAAGTTGAGACAGCCAAGGGCAATCTCCTGAACAATGATGTTAACTGAGAACAAGGAGATGGACGGATAATGATTAGCTAACATAAATTTCAATGACATAACGAACACTATGCATCTACATATTCATCATACATGAAACTGGATGTTAGAAAGGGGCGGAGCTTGTTCTACGCAGCTGATACTTAGGCTCTGGAGGTGGAACACTTGGTAACACCTTCTCTATCTCCTGCAAGTAAACATAATATTCAGTGAAACTGATAGCTGAGAAGAACGAGAATGGAGGCAACAAGGAGTAGTCTCAAAATACTTTCTAATTTTGAAAAGACAACAAACCATCAAGAACTAAGTAACAATTATTTTGCTATCTGACCAATATATATGACATATTAGTCATCAGCATAAGTGACTTCTGAGAAAGCATTTCAAGGGTTAAATCGGAACATCTTTCAGACAGAAAATAAGGAAGACCATGGGAAGCAGGGAAAGCATGAATTTTGCTTTCGAGATGGCCAAGATCCTGTAACCAAGTAGTGAGTCTGAGACTCACTATATTCTGTTCCAGAACTTTGCAGCATGTCTTACGTAGCACAAAGTTATGGGGTTGGTTCTATTTTTTAAGATATCAATCAGTCTAGAAGATCTTCCTCCCTCTGCACCCACCCAAGAGTCTCAGCTAACGGTCACCTCAAAGTAGTGTACAAAGACCATGATTTCAGTTGCGTCTCTTCTTTGCCAGATTGCATTATACTCTGATAGTCAAACCAAAAGGATAAACACATGTGGAAGAAGACATGGAATTCTTTTCTTTCATTGGTGTAGGTGTCAGCAAGAAGCAGTTTACAGGCAGACAAGATTCTCATGCCATAAATGAGCTTACATAGGAGAAGTTACTCGTGCAAATCATTACTCATTACTTAAAATAGGAAGTGTTGAACTTTTCTCAACGAAAAATCATGATGGCTTTGAAATATAACAAGAGTGCATCAACATAGGCAAAATTGAAACGGATTGTGATCATTATCAGTTTCATACAAAATGCTTGGTTGTCAAGCTACCCTCCTATTTCTTGAAAGAAACAAAGGATAAATTTAAGAGCCGATACCTTCACACCCTTCAATTTGACTTAAGGTGCTGTCTGGGTTTGATTTGGTTTAATTTTTGCAAACTAGTATATGTAAAAAGTTTTTTTGGCAAAATAACTTTGGGGGACAAATGTGTTTAATTAGTTTTTGATAACATGTCTTTGAAAACCTTTTGTGTTAGTTTAGTGTGTTAGTATAGTGAAAACCTACTATTTGGTGTTTTTGATTTTAAAAAAATTTATTGTTGGACACTCTACCCTCCCCAGACTCCACTTGTGGGATTTTACTGGGTTGTTGTTGTTGTTATTGTCGGACACCAGAAACTGCTTTTTAAACAAAATGGTGTATCTTTTTTTATTTTTTCGATAAATACATCCTAAACCCCATCTTTGAATTTCTTTTTGATAATTGAAAAATCCCCGAGGGCCAGTGCCGCACGGTTTGAAACTTGGTGGATAATGGGCATGCCCCTCTATTTTCCACTTAAATGTCACGCTTTTGTCGGCGGCGGCAAGGTTCAAATCTGCGTCGTGCACCTAAGCCACACATCACGCTATACGCTTTCACCACTAGACCAAAGCATTGGAGCCACCCATCTTTGATTTTTAGAAAAAATTAACCAAACATGACGTCCCTGAATTTTCCTTTGACATTGTTTAAAGGGGCGAATTTTATGATTTTTATGCACTTTAGTTTGTGGAAAGCTTACTAGTGGTTTGGACAATAGCATAACTAAGAAAAGATAT